CACCAAGTTTTCAACAGCAGAATTATAAACAGGTGTATTTTCAATTGACTATTTTTTAGTAATAATCTCAGACATTGACGACAACTGAAAGGTAGAGTTCTATGCATATGTCAGTATTTACAGCCACTGAGCACTAACATTGTTTGTCATTGGTCTAGTGTCTGCTCTCCAGTGAAGGTACTGGATATAAAGTGCTTTGATTGTTTCCCAGCATGATGTTCTGAAGTCTTGGCCTGACACTCAGCGGGACAAGAGGAGACCACTGATGCCACAGAAGGGGGGGGCTCTCCTGCAGCTCTAGTCCCACTTTCTACTTCACAGGGAGAAAATTATAATAAACGGCTAAACAAAATGTGCCAGTGTTACTTAAAGATTAAACAATGCTGCAACAAGGATTTGAGGGACTTAGGATTGTGATGTGATTCATGAATTGCATAATTTTCTTTTTACGTCAAAATCTTTCTTGTCTTATTCTTGTGTACGCAAACCCATGTCTTGTATGAGTTTGTGACATTGTGTCTTGTCAGCAGCTAAACTTCAGTAATCTATAGAAAGGTATGTATAAGTAATCATTATGTATATAGTGCATAATGCATACCACGGACACACAAAGCCCCGGACCTTCACCATCCATTCATTCACTCATTGCATTCACAAATATCGTACATGTTTTTAGTGGTAGGGGAAACTGGAGTCCTCTGAGGAAGCCTACGCAGACACAGGGAGAACATGCAAACGATTGTCTCATCTGGAGGTGGAATTGAACCCAGGACTTTCTTGCTCTGAACCACCGTCACCAACCCAACGCCACAAGAAAGAAGTCATACAGTATATCCAACATTTAACAACAACCATTCCAGTAGAATTAAGAGTGAAAACAAGAATTGGGAGGAAATGCCACGGTTTGACATGGCTCTAAACAACATCTGGGGAATAATTATCTGAATATTGTCACAAATATAAAACTAAAATGATAGACCCACACCATCAACAGAAGCTTTGTATTTGAATGTGTGTTTACAGCTTTTCTCCGGGACTTAGTCATCACAGAAGGACAACTTCCTGTTTGGATTACAAGCTTCATCAAAAAGAGAATTATCTATTTAAAAAAAACTCGGTTGGATGTGCTGAATGAATTAGTCCACCTGCAGTCCAGTTGGCCGGAAACATACTCACGGTGTCCTGAGTCACTGCTGATATCTCTAATTACAGGCTTCAGGATCAAATAAGAAAGAGCCATAGACACACGCGTGAACAGGAGAGCAGAGGCTAAAACGGGTTAATGAGAATGGGAGTACTCAACAACAACATGAGCGTGGACCTGCCGATCGGCTAAAAGCAATGAGTCACCACACGGCCATCATTATAGCTATTACAGGTCACGGTGGAAATTCTCCCACTTTCAAATAACTATGTGCTGCTGCCATGCTCAAGATTGAACATTAACTGTGACATTTTCGTATTTAGCATCTCTCTTCTGTACTTGAAATTCCTTAATGCAAATCTTCCAGCTAAAACCCGAAATCTAAAACCTCATGTGCTGCACTCAATGACCTCACGCTCCACTCTCAGCCCGACCCATCTGTAATGAACACTGCTGAACCAGCCGCGGCCCTGCACTGGCTCAGACAAGCAGGTGAGCAGAACAAGTGCACATCACAATAGACTACACTCCTTTTACCTCTTCGTCCTCCGGAACATGTTGAAAGTTTAGTCCAAGCAATCGTAGACAAACGATCAAACTGGTGGTAATGTGGTCATTGTGATGGAAGAGTCCTTTCCTTGAAGAGAAGCACTGCCTTTTGCTGTCAACGTGCTAAGAAGCAGCTGAGTGAGAGAGGGAGGTGGGAGGGTCCAAAACAACAAGAGGCAACATGGGATTACAGGGCATTTTGTCAAAGCTAATGTGCGTCGTCATTGCATAACGATATGTTTGTGAAAGAGCTGGTGGAGAATATAAAGATTATTCCCAGGGGCTGGGGCTCTGAATATAAGAGAAAGAAAGAGGAAGATGAGAGGTCATGTTGTGCATCTCCACAGGGGGTCCAGACGGACACACGTCACATGGGCTGTTGCGCAACGACCCAGCAGATGTTGGATGAAATGTGATGGAACATGCAGCGCCATTCAAAGAGAACACAGCCAAAAGGAAAGTCCAAACAGAGACAAATGGTAAGTGGCTCTGCTCAAGGTGGTCTGTAATGGATTCAAGACTACATTTAAGATAAACAAGGATTGGTTAGATCACCATGTGACCACAGGTCAGACTTTAATGGCTTTAATAGTTAGTAAGTAAGTTATACTTTTGTGTCCAAATGGGGAAATTTGTCTGAATTTGACCCATCCTGCAACGCCACAAGGCCCTCTGTCAGGAGCAGAGGTCGCCGTGGTACAGCGCCTGGAGCCCAAATCCAGATGTTGATGCTTCGTCAGAACCAGAGCTGGAGGATTTACCTATTGTACTTGTTTTTAGTGGCATGGGAAACTGGAGAACCTAGAGGGGACCTACACAACGTTTCCAGGATTTGGAGAATTTAGCAAAAAGATTAGTATCATGTGAGATTGGGGATTCTATGCATGCTTTCAAATACCACGTTACTGATATCACAGTTTTCCAGAAAAAAAATCAATTTAAAATCTAATGAATTAAATCAAATTATGGGAAAATGACTTTACAATTGTGAAAGCAGCTTCACTTTTTTACTTTAACAGCCTTGCTTCATTACAGATGTGACCTTTTCTTCTATCCTCCTCTAACCAGAATAGTGACCCAGTTTTGGTACATTACACCTCGGGAATGCAAACAATCTGTGTCCACATGTGCATTGCGTGTGCACCCGTGGATCGACAGCCCCACAGCAGATTGGATCCACTGGCCTCATCTAAAATGGATGGAGCCCTGATAGTGTCCCGCCTCTGCAGTCAGGACGAGAGAGAGAGAGAGATAGAGAGAAAGAGAGACAGAAACAGAGACAGAGAGAGAGACAGAGACAGAGAAAGACACAGAGATAGAGCAAGAGACAGAGACAGAGAGAGTGACAGAGACAGAGGGAGAGACAGAGAGAGAGAGAGGGACAGAGATAGAGCGAGAGAGACAGAGAGAGACAGAGAAAGAGCGAGAGAGAGAGACAACAACACAGAGACAGAGATAGACAGAGACAAAGAGAGAGATAGCGAGAGAGCCAGAGAGAGAAAGAGAGAGACATACATAGAGAGAGAGAAAAGTACAATAGGGAAGAGCAATAGGAGGACAGGAGCAGGGAATCTGAAAACTGAGACGGATGGAGCAGGCTAAACCGGAGCTGTCGCAAGGCTTCATTTCATGTGTGATTGGGCGTGATGATGGAAGAGGCTGTGTCTGTGTTTGATAGATAGGACAGGGAGATGGGGAGATGGGGGAAATGGGCACGACAGAGGAGGACAGTCCTTGGGCAGCAGTCCGCATCCACCTACCAGCACGGAAACTCAAACTAACATCATGCCCCACCTCCCCCTCCCTTATTTAAAAAGTCCTCTCAAACACACAGAACGTACCGCAAAAACAACTGGGGGATATTAGCTGATTTGTCAGATAGAGTTTCATATTTCCTGTAACAGCGATTGTCAAAAGATATGGAGTCAAACATTGAAATATAATGACTGACAAATGCATGAAAGTTAAAAGTGCCGGATTCCACACAGCTATAGTGGAGAATATATCAGCATATATTTGCAACTACTATGCAGGCATTGAATAAAATAGAACACGCTTATTATTCTTAAAGCAACAGAGGCACTTGTAAACAGAACCCTGGCCTGGCTAAGATTCTAGCACACAATCAGGGTCTTACACCGTTGTATACTTTACTTACTGTACTTTAACAAAGCATTGAACTCCAGACATGCACGAGTCACAGTATTCAGAAAGACTACTTCTTTGAGCATACATGTCAATATGAATACATACTTGAACGCACATATATTATCCAATGAATAGTTGGAATGAAGGTGTTTGATTGGCGAGCACTCTTGGAGGTTCTTGCCTTGAGGCCTGGGTCGACCACCTCTGGCTTTTTGTCACATCAGTGTTGGACAGTGGATGATTCAGAATCGGGACATTTAAGAATATTTATTAACATTTATGGACATTGGTCATTACATTTTCTATGAAGCAATGACTCCAATGTGTTTGTTATTATTGTTTTTTCTGTGTTCAAACTATTTTATTCTCTGATGTTGTTGAGGAATGGACAACTTGCTTTTGTATTGAAACTGTTTTAGCTGATCGATTTCACAGTGTCAATTGTCTCCTGTTATGTTTGTTTAATTTCTGCACTTCTAATCTTGTTTTGTTTATGTACTTGTCTTGTGCACACTGGGGACTTTTGCGGACGTATTCCATTGCGGTTTTTCTGCAAATGGCAAATAAATGAATCTGATCTGAGCTTTGTGAAGTACAAAATGTATAATCCTCTACAACAGACATGGGTGAATGCAGCCACTTCCACATCACTATCAGGCCCGCGGCCCCTTCACAGCTTAATAGGATGTTTATAAATGCATTTTCTCCCTCTCAACAACACAGTACAAATATGACTCGTACATAGATGACACATCACATACACTTTCTGTATTCCTCTTTGTTCATCATGTCAATACATAAAACAGAAGGAAGAAAGCACCAGATCATAATTAAAAATCAACAGAAGGCATCATAACACTATAAATGCTAGATCAGAGGCTCCGGCCCGCCACAACATGGCAATAACCCAATGTGGCGAATAATTGCCCACCCCTGCTCTACAACAACAGCCACTGCTTCAGACAGGTTTCCCCAGTGGAAATGACAAACATATGTATAATAAAGTCTGCAAGAATATATGGACGTAAAATCTACTCATCTTTATTTAGCTTGTCCTCCAATCAACAATCACCTAATCATTCCGATCTTATTTATACACAAGTTGTGCAACATCTATGGATACAGCAAATTTGCATTCACAGCACAAAATAACATGAATATGGAAAGTAGAGGATCAATCCCGAGCCCTGAGAGTAAATTCAAGCCAAGAGCCCAGTGGGACACAAGCGTGAGCCGACTGGAAAAGGCTGAAGTGGAGGATTTCAGCACCAAGGACAGCACCCCGGCCGCACTCCCCACTGGCTTCAATCACACTCCTCCCGATATCGGAGAATTCCACATCGCAACATTGGCACCAGGGCTGCTCTCTGTTAATCACAGCCAGCCAGGGAGTCATGGAGAGCAGATGGATGTGTTGTGTTTGTCTCCACCGCAGAGCAATGGAAAGATCTGAAGTGGTTCCCCAGAGAAAGGCTCAGAGGAGGGGGGTGAGATGGAGGGGGCAGAGGTAAGACTCACCTGCTGTTCTTGCGGGGAAGAGGCAAATCCTTCTGGAAGAAAACACAAAGAGAAGACAAAGAGGAGATCAGGGAGTGAAAATAAACCGCAAATACAAAAGAAGAGGCGCTCAGTGACATTTTAGATTTATCAAACGAAAAGCCGAGTGAGAAGTGAAGATCCTCAACGTGACACAATTTTTAGTAGAGCCGCAAGATGTGTTTTAAATGAGGAAAAATGACAAATGACAAGGATGGCATTATACTATCTTATCTGAATGTGCAAAAGCTCCAACATAAATGTAAAGCATGGAAGCTCATACAGTTATTGTGAAGACTGTATCATTTCAAGATAAATAGTACATCTCCAACAAAAATATTACAGCATTATCACATTGTTTTATATTGTGAATGTGAATTATATTATTCAGGTTCCGGCTTCTTTATTTGTACCCCTATGTAATTATGTTCATATTTTTTCAAAACTTCATTTAATCGTTCCCTCAAATTTAGACTATGCTCATACCACAACTAGACCTTTCTTCAGGGCTCTATTAAATCAACGAGTATCATATTGTAAGTGTATAATCATCAAAAGCATTTATGTGCCTTAATCATGATGAGCAAATGTATAATGACACTGCGGCTTTCTCGCACTGGTGATTATTCCCTCTGTGATAAACAGGCGGTGGCTCCTCTAGTGATCTCCGGTCCATACATACAGTACACACACACACACACAAACATATACAGTACATGTGTGTGCCTGTGTGTCTCTGTGGGGCCCATATAGTAACAGATGTAATTAGCCGCTCCACACCTTTGTCTGTCACACGCCGCTAACACCGCTAAGATGCCGTTAGAGTGGCATCGACCAGCAGCTAACCGTGCTCAATGAGATGATTAGATTCACCTCCACACACACACACACACACACATACACACACGCACACACACATGACAGACAAGCTCTATAGCAAAACCTGCCTGCAAGTATTCACCTCTCCCAACAAAGCTTCAAGGACAAAACTCAAGTCAGCGTCTCAATTTTATTGTCACTACTCATATACCCAAGGTCAAGCTGCGTTGGTATCTGTTACTGAAAGAGGACCTCAAGCCCTTCTCAAAGACTACACCACAAAAGTGCACTGCCCGAGAAACAGAATAATCATACTAATAGAGCCTCATCCAAATAACTGTATGTTTATTGAACACACAAAAGTAAACGGTCAAACAATTTAAGCAACAATGAGAGGAAGTAGTATTTATAAGCCTCCCGTGTCCTAGTTTGAATGCATTTCCCCTCTTAGAATGGTCAGACAATGTCAAAAGGATATATTGTGCTTTACAAAACAATGGACCAGAGAAATAGAGCACTGAAAATTCCTCAGTGATTGAATTATCTCATACCGGAGCTTGCGTGTGAATATAGGCATTTGCAACCAACCACCTCACAATGACAACAGCTGCAGCACCAATCCAATCCCACCCGCAATTTACCTTTTCAACAACCCGAGGCCAGTGCTGTAATCTGGTGCAAATCCCTGCATTACAAGGACACGCGAATAGCATCGACCTCTTTCACATTGTCCTTCATTGATTAGGGTAATTGAAGGATGTCCCCGGGAGGATAACTTACCAGAACAAGTCTCTGTGTGATGAAAGCGTGTAACTAACGGAAACTGCATGGACGTGGCAGGTGCAACTGGTGCAGGGCAATAAAGCTGTCAATGGGGAGAGCTATTGCAAAGATCTCTCATCTCCCCCTTCAACCCTCTCACTCGCACCGCTCGGGAGGCCGTGTCTTATTGCTCATGATACAGTTGTTTGAAGTGGTGAGAAGAATTGTGATAGATGTAGACAGTATATGTATAACAAGCAAGATTGTTTTTTCCATCCTTGGCTTCATGTGGAAAGACAGTGTGCGGCTACTTTGTACAGCAGCAACTAAAGCGGCTGGCTGTGGAGGGGGCTGCACGAAAGCGAAAAAAAGGCCAGTACTGACAGAGAAAGGATTTGTACTTTGGCTAAATTGAGTAGTATAGTGTAACAGCTTATGCTCATGCACCTACAGCACGCAGCGAGCAGGGAAAAGCCAGGAGCTCTTTGAACGGACGTCATCAATAGTTGAAATTGTCGCAGTACGAACACAGTCGCAGTAAGAACAAAGTTTTGACCTTTTTGTCAAAACTAAGACTTTTCTTTGCACTTTTTCTTTTAAAGGCGCAACAGGAAATTGACAGGATCCACTCCCCGCTTGTTGCCATGGAGATGATATTTCTTTGCTTGGAATGATCTAAGGATACTTTGAAACTTGAATTACAGATGTTTTTACTGCACAGAAACGACAGTACATATTCATCAATGTGACTGCAAACAGCGTCAACATGAATATGCTGGAATTAGCACAATAGCTAAATTGCATCCATTGTCCTAAGGCAGGTAAGAAACACACAAACACAGTTAGTAAAAGTACAAACAATAAGTCGATAAGCAAGACATAAAGAATTTAAAAGGGGAGAGAAAGAGCAAGAGCAGGAAGAGCAGATTATCTATGGGAGCATGACTGGTTTGATTTCAAACAATATATATAAATATAAACATTAATTAAGGAACAGTATATGAGATAAATTACATCTACATTTGTATTTGTTCTCCAAGACACAAGGTTGACATGAACTGATCATGTTGGGTCTTTCTTGATGAAGAAAAGTAGAGAGGTGTGCTCAAAGTGCTCAAAACAAGATCAACAAAAAAAGTAAATGTAAGGATAAACAGCTAAAAACTTTGCAAGTATAAAACCATACATTATTCTTAATTACAAAATCAAAGGACATGGTGTCTGGATGAAGAACCATGAATGATTTTATATTTCTTAAATTTACTTTCAATTTGTGTTTTTACTCTATATTTCAATATGGGCTTTTACTTTTTGGTATTTTGTAAAACATGTTAAAGATGCAGTCAGTAATTTTTTCCAGACACTTGTTTTAGATATTGTTGGGAAACGTCCCTAAACCCTAAAAGTAGTCAAGTTGTCATGTGTTTTCAAACAGTAATGGAATTGACCAGATGCCTGTAGTCTCCAAAAATAAATAAAACATATTTTAGAGCAGGCCAATAAAAATAAACCAATGGGATTCGCTCATCCCCAACGAACCAATGGGATGCGTTTATCCCCTTCACCCGCTTCCTGTTTCTCGCGAGTGCGCACAATTGAGTTATCGGATTTTCCAAAACCTAAAACAGAAAATACCAATTTCACGTTAGCCACCCACTCTCCCTGTTGTGACAAATAAAAGAAAATGCTGGATGTTTGCTTTGGTGTAGAGGCGAGGGGAGGGGGAGTGGTTTTGAGTTTGTGCCACGGCTAAGCTAACAACATAGCTTACTGCAGCTTTAATTTTAAGGGTTTGGTTCCTTTGTGTATGAATTGTGCTAATGCTTTTTGGTTTACTTATGTAAATGATTCCAATGTTCAATGTATTCAATCAGAAAGCAGAACATAATGTGAGTGTTCTGTGGGTTGCCAGGTACTCTGTGTGTTCCAAGCGTCAGTACATTTGTTCTCTCAAAAGAGTGAGATCTGAGTCTTCTCTCGATACAAACGGGAACAGGGAAATACAACATGGAAACATCTGTTGTAGATTTGAAGCAGGTGGAGATAATGTGATCTATAATGTAACTTTGTGAATGTTCTGGTCTCTGTGTGGGACCGAACTAAATGTTAACGATCAAAATGTTATTCCGCAAAACCTTATTTGAATAACACTTTTTACAGAACAATACAGATAGAGTTCATATGTGTTTGAGGAGGTTTTCTGGTCAACTTTCTCTGACGTTATTATGATGAAGCTATTATGAGATCGTTATGATTCATACAAACAACAACACTGGGAACGGACGGAAACCTCCAAGAGCACAAGCTATAAACTGTTCTTTGCACTAATCATGTCAACATATGAATTGTAAACACTCTCTACCACATGTTTATATATCAGGGCTGATAGATTCATTAGATTAGATTAGATTCAACTTTATTGTCATCACAAGTCAGACCAAGTTTATCATCCAACCCGAAGAGCAATACTGCAATTATCAGATCATATTTACAACTCAGATAAATATACAGGCATATAGGTGAGACAAAGCTGTTATTGCTATTAGTTCCATTATATACCATTAATGTGAGCAAGTAGGTCCTGGGTTCGATTCCATTTCCAGGCCTTTCTGCGTGGAGTTTGCAGGTTCTCCCTATATCTGCATAAGTTTCCTCCGGATGCTGCGGGTTTCTTCTAACACTAAAAATATGTGCATTGGGTCTAGCCTCCTGTGTGGCGACCCCACTCCCATTAGTCGATGTGGAGTGAGAGGACAAATGCCCAATTGCAAAACGCTATATGAAAAAACATTACTTACTACTTACCTACTTGTCTAACATGTGTGAAAAAAAACTACATTTCCCAGTGAAATTCCAGTTTTCAAATACATCTTCACTCTTTGTACATTTTACTGAAAAATGCTAGTTTTTCTCTAAACCCGTAGTTATGTGACATTGTATCAATATCGAGATATCTGGCATGAATATCGAGATGTTGTCCATTATTGTTCAGTCCTATTATTTATCATCAGCTTGGCGTCGCCTCGAGCTGCTCTTCTGCACGTTAAACCTGTCATATGGAGTCTTCTTCCTCATCTTTAAGGTCAGTTTTATCTTCTCACTGATATTTGGAGACTCCTTTTCTTTGGAAACTTTGCCCTGACCATTTTTCATGCTGTCAGTGGCGCCCTTATTCTCCACCCGGAGGCAGGACTAACTGATCTATTACCAGGTTAACACTGTCCCTCACCAGAACAGCTGCTCCTTCTGCCTCTAATTATGCACCGCTAAAATGCTAATACAAGTGCAGACAGTGCAAATGTCTTTTCATGTCTGGAACAGTAGACACTCAGACAGAAAGACACAATGATGTAGAATATGTAATGACAATTTAATAAAGCGCCTCCAGTATTAAACCAAAAAGAAATCCTTCTATCATTCTGCATAAATG